GCATTTAAGAGGGAATATTTAAGATCTACTTCCTACAATCCCTTTAGTCTCTGACTTGCTGTATATCTACTTTATGGAAGAAAATTTCCACTTTACAATGGGAATATTATAGAGCCTATGTATATCTTCAAAAACAACAGAAGACATCAGGAGAGGAAAATTAATAGCTGATAAAATTAGTGCAAGAAGTACATAGTTTAACTTCTAAAAAAGAACACACTGTGGTGGAAGTGAGTAGAAAAGTATATTCGAGAATTTCTATCTGCTTTGTTCTTTTTTGTTGCTTTTTTTTTTATCATATCACATCCATGGCAAGAATGTTCTTTCAAATTCTACAACCACAATCCTTTCAAAGGATTTATGGTAAATATTGGCATGGCATTTTAAACTCTTTGGAGGAATGTTGTTCTAGATTTATAAGTAAGCAGCAGAGAGAAAAGATAATAAAGAGGTCTCAGGGGTCAAAGAAAGACAAATACTGAGCAAATATTTTGAGAGAATACATGAGAATATACATATTTATAGATATTTCATCTTAAAATAAATATATTTACATGTTCTATATATGTATATTAAATTATGTTATAAAATATAATGCATTTTCATACAAATAATTTAAAATTGTATCTTCTGCTTTTGCAGTCAAATGACTCTTTAATCACTTTGCTTTTCATTCTTCCTTGGCATTTTAGGAAGGTACCATGTGGATGAAATGATGAATTTACATCCTTGATTTATGAGTATATACCCTGAGTAAGTTTCTACATTTTATTCTTTTCTGAACAAAAATGATTTCAAGGGAAAAAGATTAGAAAGCTTACTTTTACATTAAATTTTATTTTAGTTTGGCATCTATGTTGGATTTTATATCAAATTTTAGTGTGTTAGTGGCAAAAAGGAGGAAAATTGTTTGATTCTACCATATTGATGAAAAATATCAGAAGAAAAATTTATTTCAGTGTTAAATCATTTTGTGTCTTTGTCAAACATATGAGCAAATAGGCAAATTAAAAATTATTCATAGGCATTTACATTCCACTTGCAAAAAAGCAGTTCCTAGGATTTAAAAAATTTGTTTTTTTATGTTTTTACAGAAAACAAATGCAGTGGTAGAAACAGGAACAGTGTGTCAATGTGCCCTTGTAATTTATGAAGTTGTTTGTTTCACTTTATGACCAGAATGTTCATGAATGCCACTGTCTATTTCCTAAAATTTAGGAACTACATATTCTGTGTTTTACCTAGTATTGTTAAGATGGTGATGTCACTTTTTAAAAATTTAAGAAACATGCACTGCACCGATAGCCCCTAACAGTGAAATATATTCATACAAAAGTTAACTAAGGTATAAACATGCAAAAGGAGAAGTCTCCCTGAGATCATAAAATGATGTTATTTTCTGTTCAGCAGTTCATGTTGCTGCTGTACCTGAAAATTAATTAAAGGAACTGTTGCAGTAATGTGCAAACAGGGAATCTGAGAAACTGAGAGGCCTTTTAGGTCTCCAAGTGAAGTTAAGTCAATCTTGGTGCAGGCAATCAAATGTAATGAAATCACTTGTCAGTGCTAAGCTTGCAAAAACCGTGAAGTTTGACTAGGGAGTAAAAGGATTATAATTAGATTTCCAATGGGATAATAACTAAATCACAGAATGCAGTAAAGAGAAAATATTATTTTGTTAGCTAATGGTACTGCTGTTCCGTTTTAGTTTTTATCAGTTCACTTGTAGTTGTGCTAATTTAATTTGCTTTTATCAGCAAAAATGCACTATGTAAATGGCACTTGAATGTCATTTGCAAAAATCATTGATCTGAAGGTGAACTTAATGACACTTGGCATGTTTATTTTATGTGAAGCAGAGATTGGTTGGTAAGATGGTTGATGTGCTGTCTTGCAGGTCTCCATCTGAGTTATAGAAATCTGAATGGAACATATTAGTGTATACGCTCCTTTGGAAATTTCAGCTCCAGAGATAGTGGACATAACCAACAGAGTGAGTATATATTCATTGTTAGAGCACATGAAAACTTTCAGGAGAAAGTGTTATACTAAACTGCTTAATGTAAGTGGTACAGATATTCTTTCATTAGAAGGTGGTTTATGCATGATATCTTTTCTGTCGACATTCAAAGTACATAGAAATAAAAGACTAAGCAGATAAGATTTATAATACATGTAAGAATCCTGGTGCATGATTTTGTCTATACTAAAATTAATGTGGAAATTAGGATAAAAGTGGATATAACTTGATTATTTCTAAAGATGACCATGCAACATTTTTCCAAGGCCCCTTTATATTCCCTTAAGGATATTTTCACAGTAGAACTAATCGAATTTCAAGGGAAAAGCACTAGTTTAATGCTAGATTTCTATACAGCAGAGCAATTGACAATGGAAAGAGAAGACTTAAATGATGCCTGAACTATTTGCTGTGATGGTGATGAGTTTTGCAATGGCATTATGTTGTCATACATGAATTGACTCTCACAAACAACGATAAGAAATAATATTTCAAGTTAAAGAAGAGGATAACTGAGGGAGGTAAGATAGATGAAAATAGTATCAAAATAAGTTAAAAAAACTATAATACACAAGGCAAAATTATTAGCAAGAATGGAAAAATAATAGTTAAGCTTGCATTTAATGTTTTCCTACAATTCTGTATTTTCTAATGTTTTAAAATAAATGTACATGTAATCATTCTATTCTGAGTAAATCAAGTAATAGGCAAAATGATCTGAATTTTTCATGTAATTTTCTGCCTGACTGATTTTCTGAACTGTATTGATGATCAATTATGACAATGTTTTTGGGCATCTCTTTTCCTGGCTAAAAGAACGAAATTTTTTTTATCAGAAATAACCTTTTGATATTGTATTGTGGTTCTACTATCATTTTTACATAAGACCTTCACTCTAGCTTTCCATAAAAAGATAATGGGTGCTTTATCAGTTACAGTATTTAAATGTTGTGCTAAGAGTGGAGAGAATGTGTACTTTTCCATTTTTATCATGAATATTATTTAATGTAACCTAAAAGGTAGATATTCAATAAAGACTTATCAACTCACCATATTTTATATGAACAAATATTAACCATAAGCACTAAACAATATGGTTTGTAATTTGGAAAAAGAGTAAATAGCCATTCCCTTGCTTTAAAATAGGTTCCATCTCAAACCTTTTAAAGTTATATCAGATTTTGTCATGTTTAGCCAGCAAAAAGTAGTAGAAGTTATTAAAAGTATCTTCAATGAAAACATATTTTACTGTACCCTTCGCTAAGCACAAGATAATATACAAAAAACATTTATTGCAGACTTCATAAATTTAAGAATTTGGTCACATATGACCAAATGACTACCGATGAATATGAATATGATTCTGTTGTCTGTTAAATGGAAATTAAGTAAATTTAGGACAATTCAAAATCTTCTACTTATTTCAGATTTGAGAAAAGTGTTACTAGTATGATATAAAGGCATCACATAAATGAAACAAACACAAGGAATTGGATGCAGGTATATGGTTAAGGTATAATAAAGACAAATCCTACTAGTGATACAGTTGGTTTACTTTCTCTAGTTCCACGGCTAACTTTATATCCCACTCAAATCAGGGGCACAACCAAGCTCAATTCTCTTTACGGATTGTGTCTATCTTTCTGTGTCACCAATTCAGAAGAGATCAAATAAATGTTTTAGGCTAATTTACCCCCAAACATGGGCCTAGTATGTGATGACAACCTCAAATTCCCAGTCCACATCTAATGGGCTTTCTTCATGAAGTTAGCTGCCATGAATTCATTGTGATTTACCAAATCACTCGAATTTACTTTACTAACATAGACACAGCCTTTAAATTGAGGGAAGGAAGCAGGCAAGCATAAAACACATAGAAAATAGCAAAAGCTTCATTGACCAATTTAAGTGTGCATGCTTTCACATCTAACCAAATTAATGCATTAGGTATCCAGGTACAGCAGAATCAGGCATTACCAGAAGATCCATAAGCTCTGATGCTCTTGCTTTTATAAAGATGACTTTCAAGACTGCATAAGTGGGGGTTTCAAACTTTCATGAAGCTGCCATATAACATGATGACCCTCAGATAAACACAAATGGATCTTTCAGTTCTGTTGCCTTCACATAGATCCAGTTTTTATACAGCAGAAAAGCATCATTTTTTCAACCTCCAGCAAAGAACATATTCATTGCTGTCTTTGTTTTAATAAGTTAGGAAATAATATTCTCACAAATGTCTTTTTTATTAGAAGAAGGCTTTTTAAACAACAAGTGAGAAAATAAATGCAATCTATGTAAATGTAAAGGGCTAGAAAAGCACACTAGTATTACATTGGAAAATTTCCACTGATCAGATGCAATTCTTATTTTTAGGTGGTTTGGCACTCTTATGAGAATCTATATTGATGTGTTTCATCTGCTTTCTTGCTACCAAATACTTTAAAATATTTTAATGAACTAAATATGTATGGAAATCATGAATTGCAAGTCATGCTCTTATTTCCACATTTAGGTGGTTTCTTTAGCATAAAAATTTAAAGGTTAATAAAACATGTTGTCTACAATACCTTTAATATATTGATAGGTTCTAATTAATGTACTTGTGATCTTTATAAGTAGTAATGAAAATTTCAAAGCACATGTACACTTTAAAAAAATAAATTATCTTTATAGTTATATTTTTTAGAATATGCCTAACATATAAATGCATGTCCTTTCAATATACAAGAAATTTGTTCACATTGTATATGTGAAATTATTATTCCCTAAATAATTGCACTGTTATTAGGTGTTCAAAGTCATATTAAGTATATGTTTTCTCAAAAAAATCATTGCAAATTGCTTCCTATGTCACAGAGTAGGAAGAGTTAAGTTTATTTAACTTATAAGAAGAGTATCAATATAGTATCTCACCCCACCCTCCCCCCAGTGTTCACTGATTAATTAGTGATAGGAAGAAGTACGCAGTTTACCATACCTTGTATAGCAGCACTATCATGAAGAGTCCCATTGTTTTCTATTTCAATATCTGGAATTCCAGTATCTGAAAGAATTTGCATTCAAGATTAAGGTAAAATTCTGTGTTTCTTGATTAAATTTAAAGGAACAACTGCAACAAGCTAGTACTTTGGTCTCACAGATAATGCACAACACTGGTGTTTTCTTTCCTTTTTTTTTGGCGGGGGTTGGGAAGAGTAGGTGTACTTTTCATGGTAGGAAAAAGGATGACAAACTATAGTTGAATTATACAATTGAGTACATATTTCCAGGTATATTGTACAGTCTTCTTTATGTGATTGATTATGTAATGAGAAATTTTAGGAAAATTTTCTTCCTGTAAAAATCCTCTAAAATTAGGGTTACAGGTTAACATTCCTGGACTGCAGAACAAGAAGAAGATGATGGATGCAATTTTCTAAATGGAAGTTCTTCATCCTTTCAAGTATATTTTCCATTTGTAAGATACAATAGCTGATAGTATTATCTGTATGCTAAGTACAAGCATAAACCAAGATTTTGTATTATAGTTTGTAGTGGCTGAGAAAACCCACGTTAGGAGAAAATGTGCGCTTTTCAAATAAGCTTTAAAAAGCTGGCAATTATCATGCAAAAATGTTCTGTGCGTATGAATGTGTGTGTGTATTTATTTTAACATTTACTTCAAATTGGATGTGAATGAGATGAAACAATGTTAACATGATTTCAGAATTAAAAGTGAAATCAGAAAAGTTTTGAATTAAGAAATTTCATGCTTTAAGCACCTTTTCCTTCAGAATTTCCAGGAATTTACTTACAAAACATTCTCAACCAGATTCTCCTTAAGTGCCTCAACATTGATGGCATCTTGAACCAGTATCCTATAGTTGATGAAAACTGAGTTGAACAAGCACAACATACGTGACATGAATAGATCTAAAGCACTTAACATTTCTCTTGCAGCAAGAATATTAGTATTACTACTTTTACTGAAAAAGGCAGTAGTTTATTTTGTTATTTCTGGGCTTTTTTTTTTTGTAGTACTGGGGTTTGAACTTGGGGGTCTCCCACCTTGAGCCACTTCACTAGCCCTTTATTGTGTTAGGTATTTTTGAGATAGAGTCTCACGAACTCTTTTGCTCTGGCTGGTTTCAAACTGCAATCCTCCTGATCTCTGCCTTCTGAGTAGTGAGGATTACAGGCGTGAGCCACCAGTACCCTGCTATTCCTGGGCTTTTTGTATCTCCCACATTATGGATTATTTTGGGTTTCTTAAATCTTAACTTAAAATAAAACATTGAATTGATTGCTTAATTATGTCTCTCTCTCTCTGTCTCTCTCTGACTCTTTCATCTTTAAATCAGGTTTTCCTTTGTTTACAATGAGAGTGAAAACCCCAATCTGACATTACCTTTCAACATCCTCAGGCAACTGTCACTACTATTGGCTTGCTTAAGTGCCTGTTCCACTTGCTCTCTGCGCTTGGATTCAAATTCCAAGGCTTCCTGCAATTTTCTCTTGGCTTTTTTCTCTTTTTTCAGGCGCTTTTGCATGGTAGCTGAAATACAGAAAGGTAGTTTGCAAAGGGCTGGTCAGTACAATAGGATTGCTGGTTTTGAAGAATTATAAACCACAAATACAGATATAGAAACAGAGAGAGATACCAATGTATCTGTTGACATAGGATTAGTTTTTGTTTTTGGTCCCAGTTCTCATTTGGCTTATGCAAATAGTGCTTCATTTATTGTAGTTCAATCATACACCAACTTCTTCATAAGTGCAAAGTGTGAAAACTCTGTTACACACATGCAGTTGTATGATGCAATTGGCTTGGAACATTATTTTCTACTATGATTCATTGCATGCATTTACAATAACATTAGATATTTTATAATTATCTTAAGAAAGCTATTCTTACTCATTAAATTGTTATTACATGTTTAAAAATGCAGAAAACAAAATCCTGGAAATATCTTTTGGGTTGCATAATATGCTTTTTAAAACTGTAAGCAGCAAGTGTTAATTTCTCTAAAATGTTAATAGTATTTGTTTAAATAATGCACATATCAGTCTCTCTCTCTGTCTCCATACATAAACACACATAAACAAATAAATGCCAATACACATACAAACTATAGAGAGTAACTTTCAGCAATGATTATATAAGCAAGTTATAAAAGTGCAACCACAACAATGTGTCTCTGGTAAGCAGAAAAGGTAAAGAAACACTAAAGGACAGCTATACCTCAATTCTCAAGGCTTTATGTCTCAACCAGAAACATTAATTGCTCTAGTGACTGATTATTTCTAATCACAGAAATCTTAAATCTGTGATAGTTCCTCAAATAGGAGTTTTGGGCTCCAACATGAATTGGTTCATAGCAGAGTTCTATGTAGACCTACTTTTTTCCTAAATCAGTTTTTAAAAATTAAGATATTATTTTTATGGCAATAGAAAGCAAAGAACATCATGCAAAAGATAAATTATATGACATTTAAAAATGCTAAAAGCATTCATATATATTTAAAATATTTCAACTGAATGAATATGATGCTAATTTGAGTTTCAGTTATATTCATCTCACAGTTCAAGGTCTTTTTATATAAATTATCTTGAGCAATATGAAGAGAGTCAGTTACCCAAGTAAATTGCTGTGAACTTAAAACAAAAATGCAAAAGTCTAACATAATAACAAAATAGAATTGAGAAAAAGACAAAAAGTATGGTTTCTATTATTTTTGATGAAAGACTGTTAAATATAGTTGAACATAAAAGTACTTCACTATTATGATTGTACTATGTCATCATTCAAATACATTAAACAATTTAAATAAGATATCTATATTATTGAAATTAATACAAAATTTAACAACTTTGATAAGATAAAGTGTTGCTTCTAGAAAAACTAATGACTCAAAAATACTCTGTAAGCTGATTCAGTTGAATATTACAATTTCATATACTCATAAATAATGCTACAACAGGCAATATTTAAAATTATATAAATGAATAATAAGTATAATTTATTCAGTATCTACTATATACTGAACACTTCCCTGGAAATATGTTGAATTTAGGTCTTACAACAGGTCAACAAGGAAAGCAGTATCATCTCCATTTTATAGAAAACTCAGTTATTGAGCAAGAAATTTACCCAAGATGACATAACTAGAAAGTTTCAAAACCTGTGAACTAACGAACTCATAGGCAGTGTTTCCAAAGCCTAGGGATCACAAAGTTGATTACAGGACCAAGGCAGGTGACTAGCAATGCATTATGTAGCACGATCACTCTGATTTTTTATTTTTATTTTGCAAAGGATATTATTATATATGTATGTGTTTGTTTAATTCAAGTAACATAGTCTAGCTAGTAGCAAAAATTTAACAAAGTTTAGTATTTTTATTGTGAAGCATTGTTTTCTTTTTGATCATATTAAAAGGTCATAGAGATCCTTTAAATTTATATTTTATATATAGTTACATATGTAGTTATATATTGTCTTAATATAAACACACACTAATTATCTGTGTATATAAATGTATGTATAATTATTAGGATACCCTTGGCTAGATATTGTTTTACTACCATAACATCAAATTTCTGCCATGTGTTTTCTGTCATGTAACCTTATATAGTCTATGATTTTTCATAAAATATTGGGTGTACTGGGTATTAGTTATTTAGGGAAATAGAAAGTAATTCAAGTGACTTTCTAGTTAAACTATTATAATAGATGAGGTTACTATGATTCATAGAGATAAAATAAACAGTTCTGTCAATCAATGAGGGTAATAGAGTAATTTCTGATAATTTTATTAGTTATTACATGTGAAGTGCTAAAAATAGTGCTTGACAGATAACAGACATTTGACAGACATCTAGTTGTAGGATTAGCATTTATGTTAAAAGTAGTAGTTATAATAATGACTAGTAATAATAATGGGTGTAGTACTAATAATGATACTAGTGGTAGGAGTTGTATCAATATTATGCGTTTACAAGTGATAAATTTATTACCTATAAATAATTCACAACAAATCTGATAATAGACACAATATTATATCTATCATGTCTAGGACATTTAAAAGACAATTGGTATGTTATCAACTAAATGTAGGCCCAAAGGGTCTATATTAAAACAAATGCAGTAATATTATTGGACAGGGGTCACTCAGTAAGGGGAGAATGCATACAGGAGAAATAGGGAAAGGAAGGAAACCTAAAACTTCAAAGTGTTTCATGTGCCCACTGTAAAGGAGTGAATAAAGTAATCTTAAACTGACAGAGGCCACCATGAGAAGGTGACCAGGAAGTAGTAAAGAGGTCAGATGAACCAATGCAGGTTGTAATACACACGTGCATGGAAGCAATGCTAGGAATCTCTCTTCATCTCAAGGTAGAAAATGCTATGTCTTTTTTATTATCTCTTATGTTTTCTCTTCAATAAATTTGCAGAAGAGGGCTGTTCTGCCTGGAAGTGAGGGCGGGGGTGGGGGGAAGAGGGAGGGGGTAGGAGGGCAGGGAGGAGGATGGCTCAAACAATTTATACACATATGAATAAATGAATAAACAATAAAAAAATTCCTGGGAAAAATCCTAAAAAAATAAATAGGACTACAATAAACATTGTTAGACTCCATGAGATCATCAGTAAGGTATTCTCACAGAGATGGAAATTTTGGATTAACGAGCATATGCATCCTTGTCCTTTTCTTATTTACTTATAGAAGGGTTCTGCTTTTTCAAAAAATTTCCTTATATTAATCCTTTGGTGGTTAAACTTGCTTAAAACATGTGCTTTTATAGCTGACTTTTCATTATATTACTAGGGCTTTTTGATTTAAAGAAGATTACATAGTAATGTAGCTATTGCTATCAATACTTTCCTTTATCATTCATCTTTAAATCATTCCCTACATCAAAATCATAAAGATATTCTTCCATAAATTTTTTTGTAAAGTTCTTGGGTATTTGTTACTATATTTAATTTGTGTTTCATTCCATCTTAAATTTTTGTGCACATAATGAAGTAAAAATCTATTTTTGGTGTCGTAAAAAAGGGTCTATAAATTATTAGTAATCAGAAATCAGAATGAGTAGATCCCTAGAAGTCAGAAAATTTTACATGTGGTAGGTATTCATAAGTCAATTTAAGAATCTTATTATATCAAACATGTGATTTTTTAAATTAAATTTTCCATACTAAAGAAATGTTATTATTACTATTAATCATAACATTCTATTTCACTCATTAAATATAAGAAATACACTGATTTCCCCCAACTTTAAAAAGACAAGATATTCTTTGCTTTGGATTATTTAATGAATTTAGAAAGTTAAGAAAAGTAAGTAATTCTTTTTTATTTTCACTTTAATTCATTTTTATTTTTGTTTATTTATTGGCAAATAAATAAAACTCTGGGCTGGCCTGGACTGAGATCTTTCCATTTTGCTTCCTGAGTAGCTGTAATAATAGGTGCATGTTACTGCACCCAGCTTTTTTATTAGTTGAAATGGCATCTCATAAAAGTTTTGCTCAGATTGGCCTCTAGTCTTTGCCTTCACAGTAGCTAAGATTGCAGACTTGAACCACCACACCCTGCTAATTCTTTCTCCAATGTGGTGTTTGAAATTACATTTTTAATTGAACCAATGATTTCTAGGCCCTGAGGAATATATAGATAGATAGACAGACATATGTATATATCTGTCTATCTATCTATCTATCTATATATATATTCAATTCTTGAAACAAGCTTTAGATTACAATATATTACGTTGAATTAGTGTAGCATCAGTGGATCTTATTCAATTGGAGTCATCCTTCCTTGTTCAGGTAACTATCCATATTGTTTTTCTCTCTCTTTTTTCCCTCTACTTCACACTCTTCAAATCTTTACTTATTTTACCCTTGGTCATCCTTCCATAGAAGGGAAGGGAAAGAAGTTGAAATTCACCATAATTACTTTTGTGGAGATTATTTAGAATGTAACTTGTGAAGTTCAAAGTTTCCTGTGGTTTTGATATGAAATAGTCTAATTTATACATTACCATAGATAATCAAATGGATACACACTGTTAGAAAATTAATTTTATTCATGAATAATTCAGTATTTTTCCATTCTCTCCTCTTTGTCTCCAACTATACTACTGCTACCCTAATTTAGTCCTCATCACTACTGTTTGGGTAAGAGCAATCTTCTTCTGCAGCATTTCCTTGCTTCCATTCTTATATTAATCCTCTTCTAATTTAACCCTAATATTATATCCAGTTGTAATCAGACCAGATCATCCCCTTTCTTATCTTTGGATATTATTTCCCTTTAACTACAGGATAAAATCCAAGCAAATCTTTTACATGGTTAAAATGTTCTTCCTAGTTTAACTTCTGCCTGCTTCTTTATGTATCATCTCCCACATTCAATACATAAAACTCAAAGCATCTTTAATAATAGTTGCCAATGTATGAAGTTTCAAAACAAAGTGACAACTATACAGATTGTGTATGATTACTCTTGCCACTTTGTTTTGAAATTGGCTGGCTATGTTAGTCTTTTAAAATATAAATGCCTCAAGGAGAAGGACTTAATTTCATTCACTTTATAATCCCATAATTTAGTACTGTGCTTAGCAAGGAGTAAGCACTTCATGTATAAGGAATTGTGAAATTATATCTAGATGCATTTTATGGAATTGTGAGACGATAAATATTCATGATTCCAAATCTGCAACTAGCACAAAGTACAGATGTAACTCACTATCTTTTAGTACAAAAACAGACGGCATACATTTCTAACCTAGTGGCTTGCACACAGTATTTGATTTGTAGATTGTCATTTGTTTTCAGCAGTTCCATGCTATCCCTTATAATATTTCCATTAAAACACTTCCAACATAATTTCCATTAAACTTACTTCTGTTCTGAAGCTCAACTGCAAGCTGCTTTTCAAGATTTTCCCTAATTTCTTTCTCTCTGTAGAGCTCCATTCGTAGTTCCTTCTTTTCTTGCTGAATCTGCTTCTCCTGGATACGAGCATTATCCAAAGCCACTTTCAGCAAACCCTGTCAAAGTACAGCAAATGGCATGCAGTTCATCTTATCTGTTTTAACTTCTCAAATATGAAATAATTTATGAAAGTGCTAATGTCTTATATTACATTTATTTTGTTTATAGAAATATTGTTGACCTGAATGTTGGTCAACAGAGTCTCCACAGAGGACAGACTATCAGCAAAAATGAATGGTCCAGGGAATCCAGGAGGCAATGCTTGCCCAGGAGCCAGTTGGATCTTGTCCAAGGGTGACTTCATCATTGGAATTTGAACTGGTACCTCTTCTGTAAAAATAAAATTAACGTCAAAAGGCTCACAAATAATTGCTCAAATATTTCACTAGTCACCTCTAATAGACATATATAGAGATTTTGTTCCTGAAACTAAGTGATGATGCCTCATAAGTAGAAGTCTTACCTAACTTTCTACTGCCTCTAATTTCTCAAAATAAAACCCATAAAATATTTCTCAGTATAAAACCCATAGAAATAAAACAACATTTATTGCTAAGGATGCATTGAATTTGAAGAACAAATATAAAACATGTCTAATTGATATATGTTTACTAATATTTATAATTTAAACAATTAGAGCACTTCTTGGCAAAGCATAAGCTCCCTTTCATTTTTTCTCTTCAACTCTATCATCTATTGTCTACTCACCAATCTTCATTATTTTTAACAGCTTCATTGAGGTATAAATTATGTAATAAATTTCACCAATTTTAAGTGTATTCTTCATTTTTATTAATCATGGTAGCTGTCTAATCATCACAACAAATCTATTTTTAGTATATCTTAATTCCCCTCCCACAATATTCCTTAATCTCTTTCCCACTCTAGCTGTTGGTAGTTATTCTACTTTGTAAGTTTTGCCACTTTTGGATATTTCATATAAATAGAATCATACAATATGTGGCATTTTGTGCCTGACTTCTTTTACACAGCTTTGTGATTTTGATCTTTATACAATTGTGACATATATCAGTAGTTTCTTCCTTTTTTGTTATTGAGTATTAGTTCATTATGTAAATATACCACTTTTTGTCTAAACATTAACTCTTTGGTGGGAATTTGGATGTTTTCCAGTGTTACTTTTAATTTTGAAGAATATTCCTAATGAGAAAAAATATTACCCATTACACAAAAATGCAAATTGTACCTGCTCCAACATATAAATTTACATTATCTTCTCTCATATTCTCAGTACTTTAATGAAATTCTTAGTTTTAGATACAGAGACATCAACAGAGTTTTTATTTATAAAATGTTTCAGATTAGTTTTTGACAGATATATATCTAATTACAAAAGGAACCTCGCTTACCTTGAAAAGCCTAACTATTTGGCTATGTACTTGAATTCTGGCTGACAATCTTTTTTGTGAGACATGTGAAGTACCCAGAAGGTTTTTCTGTATCTGATAATGGTGGTATTTTTTGGCACATGCAAACAAAAACTGCTACAGAAAGACAAACTTGGAATGCAACCAAACACTCTCAGTTGTTTCTTATTACATTTCAACACCAGTGCATGATGGGATGAATCATCACACCTCAGTTTTTTAATTCATTGTAGTCTCTTAATTTTAGTAACAGGGCATAACAAAGTTTGAAAAATATTTTCTCTTGTTAGAAAAATTTTGAGTGACTCAAAATATTCTAGTGAAACTCATTCATTAGACACTTGGATTTAGAACTTACTAATTTTCATATGATTTGGAAGCAAAAAAATAGCTATTTGTTTGATTCTTGCAAGGATGCAAATATGGATTTGCCATACAGTTATACTTCATTTTTCAATTGCAATCAGCCAACATACGCATTGTGGAGTCTTGAACCCATTGATTTCACAGTCATCATGTTTTGCTGTGGGATTTCTTGTGTGGGAAGCCGTGGCAGACAATTGTGGGAATTTTTAGTGAGATTACATAATGGGATGGCATTATCTCTGAATAAAATGCTCTTAATATAGATCATGTTTACATTTCTATTTTTCTAAGAACAGGGATAAAAATGCTAAATGCTTATTTAAAGAATGAACAGTTTCACATCATATGAATCCAAATATTAAAGAATGTTTACCAGTCTTAAAAATTCAATAAAATGAGTAAACTATCCCATTAATATTCTTTAGCACAAGAAGCTATGATAAATATCTTCTTAGGAATTGTCTTTTAGAAAACATAAAACAGTAGATTTTTTAAAAATCATAGATTTATGATGCATGTGTTTTCTACAACTCCCTTATAGTTTTATTTCCATAGTATTTGATTATATTAAAATACCTAACCTCTTATTTGAAACCTCTCTCTCTCTTTCTCTCTCTCTCTCTGTCTCTCTAATCAGCATGTTTTCACAAATTCTGTGACCTTATTCATCTACATGGATATGGTTTCATTTGAAATATTTTCATATAAAAAATTTTAAACTTAAATTCTAAAAACATTTCTTAGCCAGCATCCCTAATGAGTTTTTAATTTTTTATTTATTGGCATATAATAGTTTTACAGGGGATGCATTGTGATATTTGTATATGTGCTTACAATATATCTTAATTAGATTCACCCTCCTCCATCTTTCTCCCTCATCCTCCCTTTCTACCATAGAAGAATTTCAATAAGTTTCATTGTTCTATTTTTACACATGAACACAAAGTACATCTATCATATTCGACCTCCTTCACCCTCTCTGTTTATCTTCTCCACTCTCACTGGTACCTAACCATGGGAAGGATCTGTTTTGCCTTCCCATACTTCATTCTTAAGGTGTATATTGATTGTTCAAGGGGGTTTCACCTTGGAACTTCACAGATGTATATATCATACTTTAATCAAATTAAATCCCTCTATTACTTACTCTATATTGTCCTGCTCCTATTAATCAACAGCTTCCAGTGCATTTCTTTATATTAATCTTCAAACACAAATGACATGTATTTCAATATTATTCACTCTTATTCTCTTTTCCTCTCCCACTTCCTACTAGTTCCCTCATATTTTCCTTCATATGTGAAAGCTAAACCTGTAAGGTAAATGTATGCACGCACAGATGGTCTTATATACATATGTATACATATAACATATATACATATATATATATATGTAGAGAGAGAGAGAGAGAGAGAGAGAGAAAGCAAACATGATTATATTAGCCTAATATTTTAAAAGTATATTTCTCAAAAACTAGCCAGGCAATGCTATGCTTCATTTGTTGTTGTTTGATAACTGTATTTTTTGTAAGTTTTTTTTTTAGTTTTTTTTTTCTCTACTTGTGTGCACTAAGTGAATGGAAAGACTCCATAATGATCTATCAATATGCACTTTAAAAATGAAAGACAGGAATGTAAAACAGGTCATGTCAGGTGTGAGTAGTAGTGAGAAGGGGAGGGTGGACAGAGAGGGTAAGGGAGGTTGAATATGATCAATGTACTTTATATACCTGTATGAAAAAAGAACATTGAAAACAGTTGAAATTATTTTAAGAAGTGGGGAGTGGAAATGAGGGAGGATGATGGAAAAGATCAATTTAATCAAGGTACATTGTAAACATATATGGTATTGTCATAACACAACTATGCTGTACAATGAATATATGCTAATAAATTGTTTTAAAATATTTATAATAGCTGGAGAGGTTCTAATCTTTATGTTGATGCTTATAAACCTTAAGGTATAAATTTATACAGCCTGGAGGATCTATTTTTATAAAATGAATCACTAAAAACTTAGAACATTGCCTTCCTGCTAGTTCAGAGACAATGTAATATTTCCCCTGAATAAGTATTTTGTAATAGGGACAAAGTTCTCAAAAATAATGGATTCCTTGTTATATACCAACTCTTTATTCACATGTAATGTCAGTTGTGGGACTCTGAGATGTACTCTACTTGAAAATGAAAGCAATATATTCAGTATGCATAAAACAAAATTATAACTATGTTGAAATCATTAGAAATCTTCTATTTGAAGATGAAAGAAATGTGGTTAAATTGGCTGAAAGGAAAAAATTTATTAACTATGAAGACAGGTTGTTGCCTGGTCTATGGTTTATCATGTTGCTGTACAGTAGATTGAAGTTTCAAAATAGTATTACTCTTCTTTAAAGAGATAGACCTAACTGAATTAGGTGTCGCTTGCTGCAGTGAGGACCAAATGCAAAAAGAATCATATTTCATCAGACCTAGTCAACACCAGGAAAATAAATAGAAATATAAGAGGTATGCAGGCAATGATTCATTTTGATAATCTCACCCAAGAGAGACACATAGAGACAGCACACAGATCTAAGCTTCTACCAAAAGACAAATAGGACACAGAGGGTGGGAACTGGAATGACAGTGTAGCAGAGGTCACATCGATTTTCAGCAGCAGTTTTCACACAGATGAGATAACCCTGGACTCTATTTGGCCCATTGTTCATATCCTACCTGTCTCACAAGTAATAAATTTCCTAGTCCTAGCAAAAGGGCAGTAAAGAAGGATTCTACTTATGATTAAGTTTCTGTGCTAAACAAACATGCTGTTTAGACCAAGGTCATATTGCATGTAAAGGCATGTAATAGCCAAAACCTAGAAGAACCATGTTATGTTTCAGTGTTACATGAGCTTAAATTGTGAAACTATTCATCATATTTTTCTATGATTGAAATCATATGCTACAAAAGTGAATGATAAATGCATAAGAGATTGATTTCAATCTTGTAACAGGTCTTCAAATCTGAATGACATCTATATTTTTCTCAGAGTTTAAATAAATTGACTGTTATATTGAAATTTATTAGGTAGACTTGAAAATTGACAATGAAATTAAAAACATAGACTGCGAGTTAAATAAGAACATTTCGTTGTAATTCCAGGAGAAAGGTTTCAGTTGAGTATTTTGATTTAAAAAAAGGCTAGCATTCAAATATACATATTAGTACCTTTATCAGCACATATAAAGTAATTGTATAAACTGAAAAATAAAGATAGGACAATTGATCTAATCAAGGACATGAGCAATCTCTCCATTTAGTGAAGTAAAGTGGAGATTGCTTATTGAGCCTGTTTATTAAACCTGCCATGCTTTGTAACAGCACTTGGAAATCCACTTAGATTTAAATCCTCTTTATTTAAATTTTTTGCTTAGGGCTCAGACGAATAGATGTAAAAGTTAACAAGAATGTTATTTCCAGAGAATATATGATAAATATATGGTAAATACTCCAAATGGAAAAGTCCCCTTAAAAATTAAGGTCAAGATTGCTACAGACATTTTATATGACTCCAGTGTTTATTCTCCCACT